CTACAATGTCAAAAAATACAGTATGCCTTAGGCTGTATCTCTGTCAAGTGATATACAGGGGCATTATAACAGATTACAAAATCATGCTGTAAATAAACCATTCTCAAATCAATTATTGTTCTTTAAAATAAGCTTGTATACTTATGGAAAAAAAACATAATTTATCCCGTTTTATGTTTCTATCAAAGTGAAATAGGGAGGATAAAAAATAGTGTTTGAGAGGTACTAGTATAGTTCTCTCTAAAAAAAAATAGCACTCTGTCTTTTTATATCCTATTTCTTAGATATTTTCAGTAAAATATTTCACAAAATTTATATTATTTCAGAATTTATTTAATCATTTAAAGTGCTTATTTCTCCTTAAAATTAAATTTACTTTACTTGGTATATAATTCTTGCTAGAAAGTCTACTTTTTAAATATGCTAGGGATTAACTATAGCATCATGGATTTTAGTGAATGATCAACCTTTAATGATATTAAATATTTCTTGTACATGGTGAGATGTTTTCTCAAATGATGCTTGCACAATGTTCTTTCTGGGGTTGACAAATTAATTGTACCTTGTGAACCTGGGTTGGTTTTATTTATGTTTGTTGATGAATATGTTTTGTTTTATTTTAAATATGAGATTATGTCAATTAATTAATCTCCACATTGTTGGGAACCAAAAAAGTTCCATTATGGAATATCTTAAGATCCAATCTCCAGTTTCAGTAAACAGGAGCACCCAGGAGCTCGACCTACAATTATATTGCTAATTCCAGCAAGTCTACTATTGTATACCATGGCCTCAGGGTAGAATGCCTCCTAGTTTGCATCTCTATGGGCTTAATCATTGAGTAGGCCCACACCTGGGCTGAGAACAATGTCTATGTGACTAGGAACTGTTTAGGAAATGCTTGAATTTTAATAGAATCACTTGATATTAACTATATACATTATAACAGATGCTTCCTGATTTTGCCCCTGCCCTTGGAAGACTATTTAAATGGACTTCTCAATAAACCATGGCTTCTCAGCATCAGCTGAGAGCCCTCCTGAGAGGACAAGATTCCTGTGTTTGGTCTTTATTGCCATTGGGTTGCTAGGAATTTCCAAGTCCACGATATCAGCCCTGTCTCTTTAGGCAACTTGTGTTTGTTTCCATTATCCCATTTTTCAATTTTTCAGGTAGGATGACCCCTGTTGGTCTATTTCCAAATTTATTCCCCCTTTTCTTCTCTCTGACCTATCCTGTTTTCAGGCGTCTGTAGTGAATTCTTTATTTTAGGCTTTACATTTTTGTTTTGTTTTGCTTTGTTTTTGTTTTTTTCAAGCCAGGGTTTCTCTGTGTAGCTTTGGATCCTATCCTGGCACTTGCTCTGGAGACCAGGATGGCCTTGAACTCACAGAGATCCTCCTTAGGCTTTACATTTTTTTCTTCCAAATATTGTTTCTTTATAAGATAACTAATCTCTATTGACATTTTGAATTAGATGAGATATAGTTATTATATTTTTGTCTTAGAGTCTTACATTTTCTTTTAGTCTTTCTACATGTTTTAAAATTTCTAATTAAAGTTAAAATCTTCACCTACTAAGTCAACTCATTCAACATTTATCCAAGAAATTGTGTTTGTTTTCCTTTTGTGAAGGATCTTAGGGCCACTCACAGGTGAAACTTCATCATTCTCAGCTCTTAATGGATCTCACCTATATTCTCTTCTTCAGCATTCCATTCTAGTCCCAACAAGTTTTACTAAGTGGCGATTTTAGTATTTATATAAAATTTTACCAACAAATTAGTAGATATTTGCCTATCTTTCTAGCACATGAAAGGCTGAAAATTAATTAGACTAGGAGTGTTCAAAGTAAAATCTAAGTCAGTCTTCTAGGAGCTCAACTGGCATTAAATAATAAGAGTTCTTTTCACTTGGGAACATGAGCAATTGCCTATCTTCCTGTGCTTTTCAGGTGCCCACTCAACTGTTGTTTGTTATGATGCTGGCGGGATTCAGGTTTTAGGGGGCTTCCTTGGAGACTGGCAGGTGGAAAGGACACAGCATACAATGCTTTCTCTATACAAAAATGAGCCTGTATTTTTTAAATAAATGTTCTCTAGGTTATTGTCAGTCTGTGGTTCATTTCTAGGATTTAAAAACACATATTCTCACAATCTTACCCAATATTACTGACTGTCATAGTGGAGAAAATTAGTAGAGGCCCATATTCTATAGTTTTTTTGATAACATCATTCAAGTGATTTATATTTCACACAGTAGGAATGTTGCTTATTATTATAAATTCCAAAATCTATTCATATTATTTTAAAACTTGTTCATTTTTTTCTATAGTCATGTAGATTTTGAACACTCATTTTATTTAAAATAATAATTCCATTTCTAGTATCTTGTATATAAATGGCAACAAACAAGAAAAATGCAATTAAATATTCCACACATATTCTTCCACTTGTAAAACAAACAACAATATCACTAAATTTCTCAAAATTAACTTCTCTGTCTTTACTATATATACATAGTTACAGGTTATCTGTATCAGAGAAAATATGATGCATAAAAACATACAGTATTTCTGAAAATAATATTGTTTTTGAATGTAGAAAGAAACTAGTATTTTAAAGATTGTCATGTAAAAACAAAGTAACACGATATTGTTGGAATGTTGGTTAGAGCTTGGCCCTTATACAAAGACCTTTGTTTTCTATAATGAAATAGTACAAGAAATTAAGTCGAGCCTCCCAAAGTTCCCATTCATGAGTAACTATATCATCATAAGTATATTTACTCAGATATATACTTTCAACCCTCTATTTTAATAAATTTTCAATTGGAAGCACAAAAGACAAAGCTAAATTCAAAGGCAATAACATTTTCTGAGGACTGTAAAAGTATAACCTTAAAATGCATTTTCTTTTCTTTTCTTGTTTTTTTTTTTAGCATTTTCATCATATTTTCAAAAAGGATACTTAATATACTCATTAAATAAGACATTTTGGGTATTATAAAACTCCACAATATAATAAACACACACAGATAATAACAGTTATAGAACTTTATGAGAACAAAAGGAACAAAATGGAATATAAAAAGGTTAAATTGGCATAATTGATTCCATTACACTACAGTCACTTTATCCTTCTTACACATTGTTTTACTTATAGATTCTAACATATGAACAATATTACTTTTTACATTGTATTTATAAGTGCAACTATAATTTGAAATATCAAAGTAATTTGGAAGTTGCTGAACTTTCTAAAGCTAGATGATATAAGGATATTAGCAAATAATTGGGAATTTTAAAAATTAATATGACCTGTTTTACTTTCTTAAAATAACATTCTGAGAAAAGGGCTGTCTTAGTCTTCTTCCTGTTGCTGTGATAAACACCATTGCCTAAAGCAACATGAAAAATAGTTTATTTTGCTAACATCTGATAACATTCCTTGAAGGAACAAAAGACAGAAGCTCAAATAAGACCAGAGGAAAAAATCATGCATGAAAGTTCTTACTGTACATAGATTGCTCAGCTTGGTTACTTATACCATCAGGTCATGGATGAAAGTTCTTACTGTACATAGATTGCTCAGCTTGGTTACTTATACCATGTAAAGCCACCTGCAGGTGGGTGACACAGCCCACAGTGTGCTATGCCCTCACAAATAAATCAACAACCAAGAAAATGTTCCAAAGACATTCCCAGAGATCAATCCTGAAAGATGCTATTCATCAGTTATGGTTTCCTCTTCTTAAATGACTCTAGCTTGTGTCATGGTGACCAACACAAACACCAGCATAAAGACTAATTAATTTAACCTATTTTTAACCTAATTTAACCTAATTTAACCTATTTTTCATTAATAGGAAAATAATCATTGAAATATTTTGGATATGTTGCTATCACAAGACTTGCTATAACCTTCTTTTGCTTAAAATTGTTTCAATCTCATTACATATGTATATACAATTGTATATATATGAGAAAAAATAAATTAATTTCTTGCATAAATATTAAAGTAAGATATATTTATAAATTTAAGTGCCTTGAGTATAATTTAAAAACAAACGACTGAAAATGTTAGCGTTTTTGTCAAGATAATTGAGTATAACATTGCTTGAAAATTTTAAAATGCAAAACTAGCAGTGGTGTAGGTTAATTAAAAAATCTCAAAAACTAGGATTATTTTATTATAAAATTGTGAAAAATTATTTTTCAGAGTCATGTGATAACATAGAATAATATTTAATTTGGGCTTTCATTATCTGTTACTATGCTTGTGAACTTAATTGGAAAGCTGATCATGTAATGCTTTTTTAATTTTAAGAATGTGTTACTATTGTTATCAACCTAAAATCCATTATATATACATATAATGTATATATAATTTTCACCTCAAATAATTTAATATATATTAATTTAAATATATAAATAATTTAAATATATTTCAATAAACAATTTAATAAGATAGTAATCATAAAATATGCTGGTAAAATAAATTTTTGTAAAATTTTAAGTAAAGAAAAACTCAAAATTTAGGAAAAAATTTGAATGGCAATAGGACTGGTTACCTGATCTAGTTTTAGCCTGAATGGAACTTAACAAAATTTCTTGTAATGCTTTCAACTTTTTCTGAAAATGAAATAAAAGGTGAGTTGATCTCGATGTACATTTACATTGCACACAGATGTCAATTATATTTCCTCAGCAACTTATCTGAGGTAGTGGCAAAGCACCGCATTTCTTAGTTGCTGAAGGAAAACTTTCTTTCGTGGAGAAATGCTGAGAGGCAAGTAATGTGTCTGATATTGAGTCACTGAAAATTCTTCCCTGTTGGCTAATTTTTTTCAGAACTCATTTGAAATCCCCCCATACCCCACCTGATAGAAATAGCCCTCCTTTCTTAACAAACATTTCCACTTAAATGTCAATCTAATTTTTGTAGCCTGGAGGTTATGTACTAAGGTTTTATTTTATGGAAAGTTTCATAAGAACTTACCCCATTTTTTGGAAAAGCAATCCATCCAAGGTCCCCCATGACAGTGCGTGAATCCAATAAATTCACTGTAAAAAGAAAAAAGAAGTACCAAACTGAGTATAGCCCCATTTCAGCCTAAATCCCTCCAGAGACAACACTGCATCTACCTCTTCAGTAAGATCCATGCTCTTCATTTGACTTGATTGTTGGCTTTTCTTGTCTCCATGGGAATAAGTCTACATTAAACATAAATGTCCTTGTCCTCCTTTCAGAGTATCTGGGACACCAGGTCTCTGTCTAGACATGACTAAACACCAGGGGATTGAACACTTAAATTGTTATGTTTATTAATTTTAATGATTCCTTTGGTTCATCTTTGATATTGAGTGGCAGTATGCCTGTGTAGTTGAGATAAAGTAGCTCATGTTATCAAACTGAGTGTATTACGGTGTTGCAGTCTACTGAGTTTCAACCTGTAGTCCAAATTGATGTGCATAGGAATAGTAGGAATTTATAACTAGCCTGCTGGAAAAAGCAGCATTCCTCACTGGCCTCTGCCCAATTTGCAGCTTTAGATACTCATTACTAACTATAGACCTCCAATGTCTTCAAATTTTGGTTACTGCCTCTTGAAATAACTTTATTCTACATTCATCTACATTGCTGTTTGGTGGTTCAAAATATATGTTGAAGGGAATTAATGTCCTCAGGACAGTAGCTTAGCTGTTAGTTCAATTTTGAAAGGGTAGTTACTGATATTTGAATATACCACTGCAAAAATATAAGACAATAAGTAAAGTTGGAATCCATAATTTTACATAATTTGATTTTGTTAAAATGCTGTCAATAAATAAAAAGATGATAAAATTGATGAGGAATTCATATGTCACACTTCTCAAACTCACCCTCCTTGGGGAGCAGAAAGGGGATGGGATAGGGAGTTGGTGGGGAGGCAGGGGAGGAAGGAAGGGAGAGGGAACTGGGATTTAAATATAAAAGAAGCTTGTTTCTAATTTAAATGAAAAAAGGAAAAGGCATAACAAAAAAGAAAAAGAATTAATTCCTTCTTTTAAAAAATGAGTTTTGTTTTCAGAAATAAGACTCAAAATGCAAATAAGATATTTACAATTGCAATTAGAAAATTTCACATTCAGAAAGAGAATATAAAATTATATTGTTATCTCTTATATGATAAATCAGAATAAATACTTGAGACCTTGTTCATTCAGGTATTCAGATGCCCAAAAGAAAACAGTTACAGTTAATATGTAAAGTAAATATATAAAAATTCAGGCTGAACAAACCATGGAGAGCAAGCCTATAGACAGAGTTCCTTCATGGCTTCACTACCAGTTCCTCCCTTTAGATTCTTGCTCTGAGCTTCTTAAGTGATAGACTGAATAATGAAAATGGAATTAAAATAACTCCACTAAATATGTATAACATACTTTCCTTTCCTATCTTTATTTTCAAATTATTTTATTTTAATTAGAAAGATTATTTTACACCTTAATCCCAGGTCCCTCTCCATCTCCTCCTCCCCTGTCCCCCCAGATAACACCCTACCTATCACATATCCTTTCTCCTCCCCAAGGAGGGTGAGACCTTCCATAGGGGTCTTCAAATTCTGTCATATCCTTTGGGATAGGGCCTAGGCTAACCCCCTTGTGTCTAGGCTCAGGGAGTATTGCTCCATGGGGGATGAGCTCCCAGAGTTCATTTCTATTCTAGGGATAAGTACCTATCCACTACAAGGGGCCACAAAGATTTCCAAAGTCTCCTCACTGACAGCCACATTGAGGGTGTCTGGATCAGTCCCATGCTGGTTTCCCAGCTATCAGTCTGGGGACCAAGAGCTCTCCCTTTTTCAGGTCATCAGACATAGAGTAAAGGATTACTACCCTACAATCCACACTGCCAGAGAAGCTAGTAAACAAGGAGGACCCTAAGAGAGACATACATGGTCCTCTGAAGAAGGGGAAAGGGACAAGATCTCTTGAGCAAATTGGGAGCATGGGGAAAGGGGAGAGGGAACTAGGAGAATGAGAAGGGGAGAGCAAAAGGGGTGAGGATGACATGATGGAAAAGGGAGGTTGAGTTGAGGGAAGAACAGAAGAGAGCAAGATAAGAGATAATATAATAGAGGGAGACATTACAGGTTTAAGGAGAAATAAGGCACTAGGGAAATATCTGGAGAGCTACAAAAATGACACCAAGTAACAATCTAAGAAACAGAGGAGAGGCTATTTTAAATGCCCTCTTCTGATAATGAGATTGATGACTAATATGCCATGTAACCATATGCCATGGTATAGCCTTCATCCAGCAGCTGGTGGAAGTAGAAGCAGACAACCACAGATAAACCTTGAATTGAACTGAAATCCGGTTACAGAGAAGAAGGATAGAAGAGAATAGGGGTCTATACCAAGCTGATGAAATCCTTTTCAATCTTTAAACAAGCTATTTTATTTACATAAAAAAAAAACCTATCACATGGCAGGCCTGACCACTACTGAGGTGAGTGTACCATCTGCTCCTACCCTGCTCCTACCCAACTTCCCATTCACCTGTATCTCTCTAGGCCTGAGTCTGCTTAGAGTGGACTCTACCAGGCAGGGCAGAGCTCCCTGAGTCTGGAAACACCTCACTCTTCCTTCCCCTTTCGGCCAGCCCAACCCTTACATAGTGAGGAGACTACCAGCAGAGGCAAGACCTTCCAGAGCTGCAGGTGAAAAGAGGAGATGGAGAGACCCCACCTGCACCCACTGGAAGAAGACATGAGAAGAAGATGGAGTAAGAATGCACTCAACAACAGAAAGACCAATATGACACCACCAGAATGTAGGGATTCCACACAAGCAAGATCTGAAAAACCCAACACAAAGGATGAAGAAGAGATGGACCGCAAAAATTATCTTAGGAAGATGATAGAGGAAACAAAAAATCCCTTAAAAAATAGAAGAAAAAACAAGCAAGAAGTTACATGAAGTAGAGGAAAAGACAAACCAAAAAAATTCAAGAAATAAAGACATCTCTTAAAGAATCTAAAGAAAGCCAAGAAAAAAACAGCCAAACAAGTGAAGGAAGCACTTGAAACAGCTCAAGGCATGAAACTGTAAAAGAAACAATAAATAAAACACAAAATGAGGCGATCCTGGAAATAGAAAGGCTGGATAAATGATCAGGACCTAAAGACTTGAGTATAACCAATAGAATTAAAGATATGGAAGAGAGAATCTCAGTTGTTGAAGACTCTCTAGAGGATATACAGTCATTGACCAAAGAAAATCTCAAGTCCAACAAATCGCTAACACAAAATATCCAGGAAACATGGGACACCTGAAAAAGACAAACATGATATGTACTCACTCATATGTGGAATTTAGACATAGAGTAAGGATTACCAGCCTACAATCCACACTGCCAAAGAAGCTAATAAACAAGGAGGTCCCTAAGAGAGATATACATGGTCCTCTGGAGAAGGGGAGAGGTTCAAGATCTGCTGAGAAAATTGGGAGCACGGGAAGAAAGGCAGAGCTAGGAGAATGAGAAGGGGAGATGAAGAAGGATGCCGAGGACATGAGGGAGCAGAAAGTATGAGTCAGATGAAGAATACATAATAACAAGAATGGAGATATCATAATAGAGGGAGACATTTTTGGTTTACAGAGAAACAAGGCAGTAGGGAAATGTCTGGAGATCTACAAAGATGATACCAGCTAACTATCTCAGCAACGGAGAAGAGGCTACCTTAAATGCCATCCTCTGATTATGAGAATGGTGACTGACTTATATGCCTTCATCCAGCAGCTGGTAGAAGTAGAAGCAGACACCCATGACTAATCACCGATCTGAATTGGAACCCAGATGCAGAGAAGGACCAGTGAAGAACACAGAGGTCCAGACCAGGCTGGTAAAAACACACAGAAACAACTGACCTGAACATCCAGGAACTCTTGCTCCCCAGTCTGATAGCTGGAATACCAGCATGGGACTGATCCAGACCCTAGGAACATGGCTTTCAGTGAGAAAACCTCAGAAATCTATGGGAGCTCCTGTAGAAGCCCAGTATTTATCCCTAGCATAGGTGTGGACTTTGGGAGCCTATTCCATATAGAGGAATACTCCCTGAGCCAAGAAACACGGGGGTGGGCCTAGGCCCTATCCCAAAGGATACGAAAGACTCTGATGACACGCTATGGAAGGCCTCACCATCTAGGGGCAGCAGAAAAGATATGTGACAGATAAGGTTTTAGTTGGGGGGGGTAGGGGAGAACGGGTGAGAGAAGGGACCTGGGATTGTCATGTAAAACAATCCTGTTTCTAATTCAAATAAAAAATGTTGGAAAAAAAAAGAAATACAGCTGAAAGGTACAGAAAACACACTCAACAAAATCATAGAAGAAAATTTCCCCAACATACAGAAGGATATGCCTATGAAAGTACAAGAACACCAAATAGACTGGACCACAAAAAGAAGTCCCCTTAACACATAATAATTAAAACACCAAACCTTCAGAATAAAGAGAAAATATTAAGAGCAGCAAAAGAAAACGGCAAAGTAACATATAAAGGCAGACCTATCAGAATCACTCTCAAATTCTCAATGGAAACTTTGAAAGCCAGAAGGTCCTGGATAGATATCCTACAAACACTAAGGGAGCATGGATGCCAAACCAGACTACTGTACCCAGCAAAACTTTCAATCACTATAGATGGAGAAAACAAGATATTCCATGACAAAACCACACTTAAACAATACATATCAACAAATCCAGCAGTACAGAAAGTTCTGGAAGGAAAATTCCAACCCAACGAAGCTAACAACACTCACAAAAACACAGGCAATAGATAATCCAATTTTACCAAAAACGAAAAGAAACAGGAGGGGGAAATCCACACACAATGACACCACCAACAATAAATCCAAAACAAACAAGAACCAATAATCAATTGACATTAATATTCCTCAATGTCAACATTACTAAAGCTCAAACCACACATACAACCACACACACTTATAGTCGGAGACTTCAACACCCCACTTTCACCACTAGACTAGACCACCAGGCAGAAGCTTAACAAA